GCAGGGGCTGCGGGGGCCTCGGACTTCGGCTGCAGCGCCGCGGCGCCGCGCTCGGAGAGCGGCTTCCTGCCCTACTCGGCCGCCGTGCTTAGCAAGACCGCGGTGAGCCCGCCAGACCAGAGAGACGAGGCGCCGCTCACCAGATAACTACGTCGCCGCCGCCAGGGGGCCGCGCCCGCCCCTCTGAGTGTGCTCCAGAGTCCCCAGTGCGCCCCCCGCGCCTTCTGTGTGCCCCTGCGCCCTTTGCACCCTGCCCGCTGCTACCGTTGCCGCCAGGGGGCGCCCCGGGGCGCGAGAGGCCGAAGGGAATCTGTCCAGAATTGGGGAGAAGGAGCCCGCACGGAAGTCTGGCGAGCGCCACCCCTGCCCCCAAATTACTTCTATTTTTGTATTTGCCACCCAGCCGCCTCTCTTCTACCCCCTCCTCTGTGTTTCTGGCCGCCCAGGCCCCGCTTCCCGTCTCTGTTCTGAGCTCTTTGTCTCCCTGAAGACAATCCTCCCCCTCCGAGTCTTCCCCGCTGTGCGCCCTCAGGCCCGGGTTACTCAGCTGAACCGCGTGGCCAGAGCAATGGAGAATCACAACAAAAAGAGAGAGGAATGGTGTGCACTAGTGCTTTGTGCAGGAAAAGTCCCTCCCGTGGCCTCTCCTGCTGCTCTTTCTCTCCCATCCTTGCCTTCTTTTCTTTAAACGAGAGTAGGGGGGAGGTGGCAGTTTGGCTCTCAGTCCGAGCTTGTTAGGGGCCCTGCTGCAGGAGGGCCAGTGGAGGTCTGAGAAGGCCCGGATGGCGGACGGAGGGTGCGAGCGGCTGCGGGGATGTTTGTGAGATTATTATTATTATTTTTATTTTTACCGTGTGCGGGAACTAGGCCAGTGGGATTGTGGCCGCCTTCTCCGGAAAGACAAAGCCCAAGAGGGAAATGGTGGCGGTCGCGCTCCCTCTGCCTCCGTACCCCTTCTTTCTCTCTTTCGGTTTTGGTTGCAGTGCTAAAGGAATGGAAGGATCTTGCACATTTGTGTAAAAAATGATAACTAACGAGGTTGCCACAGCCAGTCCAGGGAAGAGAAGGGAAGGGATCGAAAGGGCAGGACCAGTTGACAGACTGCTGTAAGATCTGGAGAGTCGTTTTCAGCTCAGTTGTCTGACTACCGGGTTCCACTCCATCTGAAAAATACTTGAATCTCGAGATATACGGTATGATCCTGAAGCACTTCCTCAGACACTTTTCGAAGTTCGACTTCTCTCCTCCCCTCACCCCCCTTCCATCTTCGTTTGCCTTTTCCTCGGGTAAAACGGTTCTGGGCGTATTTCTCACCCATGTGTGTTGCGCGTTCGCCTCTGCAAAGCCACCGCTGGTTGCTGAGACCCGCTCTGCCAACCCTGGCTGCTGGAGGGGTTTCCTTGAACTTGAAGAAAGGCACATCAAAACCCACCAGTGTTACTGCCATGTCAATTTTGATGCTAATAATGTGCAGATTATGACGAAAATTGCCAATCATGCTCTCTGATGGACCTCCTTTGAATGTGGAATTGGAGAAAAGTTCCCCGCACGGAGACCTGCTGTCAAGTACTAACAACCCGCTAAGGGAAGTCATTAGGAGAGACGGATAAGAGACTCGGTACATAAAACATTGTTCTTGGTGCATAGAATGTATGTTATTTAATGTTATCTCTGTTACCTGAAGTGATTTCGCAGAACAAAGCCACGTTCTTATCATCTCAATTGCCAATTTTCATTTTGGTAACTTGGACGCCCTGGGCAGACTTTTCTCTGTTAAGTTGATATTCCACCAATGTGAACAGCCTCATTAAATCAAGCCCAGATATTTCCATAATGCTCCCCGCAGAGCCACTTCGCTCCTCACATAATGAGGTTTTCTGAAGAGTTGAAGCCCTAAAATAACTTGCTAGTGCATGTTTGGGCCCAGCGAAGTGGGCATGTGTGTGTATCAAAATGTAGGTCTACTACCTACACACGTGTGCATGTATATATATGTGTGTGTGTATATATATTTATATATATACACACACACATATATATCCGTGCTCTTAAACATATACATATGTAAGAGATGCACACACATCCATAATAAACATCAGCACTATTTTCTGCAATTTATTTCAAAGTCTTGTCCTGACATGTTTTTGCTATTTTAAAGACACTGGATTTCAAATTTTCATTTCCTAAAGCTAGACTTTCAGGAAACTCTCAAAAAAATTCATTTTCCAGGAGAAATTATTCTTTTCATCAGATGGCAAATATTTCAAGGGAAAAACAGTATTTCAAAACTCCTGGGGTCTATTAAAATAGTCCCATAAAATGTTACATAACTTCCCAATGAAATAGCAATTATCTATAGCTCAACATTTTTTTAAGATGAGATGAGACTACTTATGTAAGATATTGATTATACCAACTCTTACTCCCTGAGTTTACATTTAAAAAATATTAATATATAATTTAAGGCTAAATAAAGTAAACCAAAATATGGCTCCTTCTT